GTGACCGTGATTGCTGAATATTTACAAAGCGAGACTGTTGTAGATTTTTTATATGTCACCTGCTTTTGTAACGTGTACGCGTGGATACTAATAAAGTATCAGTTGCATTTTGTCTTTCTTGTGGTTTTTACTCCGCTACTATAAGGCCTCTTGTCAACTCCTTTACCATGTCTCATGATTATTGTATTGTTGAAGTCTGCATTTCTTTTTTTTGTACAACTGTTCTTTGCAGCGCTTCACTAACGCTGCACAGCGCTGCATAAAAGCTGTTTATCGACCGTATGGTCTCGTGTGGGTATTTTTTTGCATCTTTACGGCAGCGCTCCTGCAGCTCTCAGTGTCGCTACCGCAGCGTTAACGCAGTCACAAAAATGCACTGCTGCAGCGAACGGAAAGCAGCGTTCGTGCAACCTTTCTGCAGCGCTCGTTGCAGCGCTCGTTGCAGCGCTAATAAGTCGCTAAAGCAGCGCTGTTTTAATGTCTCCTGTATCGTACGGGTTATTTCACTGCCTTACAATATGAAAATAATCTCGAGACTCAAAGGTGTCCTAAAACAACGCTTAATCTTGGGAATTTCAATTTTTCAAAAAAAATCTTTGGAGTGGTTTTAAAATTATTCGTTAATTTGTAAAGTAGACTGAAATGTTTACAAAACCATTAACAAGACAGTAGTAGATCCAGACCTTCAGTTTAGGGAGGGAAGGGGGGGGGAGGTGGGGCCGGTCTGAAAAAAAATTCTTTTCTGGCCTCAGTTTGGTCTAAAAATAAGGGGGGGGTATTGGGGGTATGGGGGGGTATGTATCAAGAGTGCCTTGATACATAATATAATCAATTAAGTGCCTTGATACATACTAATCAAATGCCTCTTTGTAGCAATCAGCTGGAGCTATCTCCATGATCATTGACACACATTTTTAAAACTATTGAAACTGCATGTCAAAAGCGCTTCGTTTTCTACAGTTAATGGCCAAACATCAAGGTTGTCCATTTTTTACCGTTTTTCTAACCATGAAAACTTCATCCCAAAATCAGTATCTCGATAACTTTCTTACAGATTCCTCTTAAACTTCACTTTTAACTGGGTTAAAAAATTTAACCTAAAATCAAATTTGACCTGCAACACATATACAACGACCTACACTGTAGTGGTAGTCAAAACATTGTTTTAACCACTGATTTTTACTCTTAAGTGTTTTCAAAACTCTTATAAGTTGATAAAGAGTTTGGTTATAATTATCATGCTAGAGACAACACTACAACAGGATTAATAGGAGATACTTATCTTTTGTTAAAATACATTTAGTTTAAGGAGAGTTGCTGTGTTGTTCTTGAATTTTTTTAGCAAGGTACTCCGATGCTGAATTGAATGAGAAGAGGAAAAGAATTTTGCGAATGAAACAATTTCTGCAAGATAATAAGGTACTTGCTGTACTTTTAGCATATTTTTGATGATGAAAAATATTAGCAACATGTCCTATTTTTACAATATTATTTAATGTACCAGCCCATGCACTCACTCATTTTTAAAGTAAATTAAGTTTTCAAGTAAGATTGCATTTTGAAGTTTACACCTTTGGTTAAAAACACACAAACTAATGTTAAATTTTCTGAAACCTGAGAGGTTGACATTTATAAAGAAAATGTTTTAGCGCCCAGAGAGGAAGCATTAAGAGCAAAAAAAGAAGCTGAGTTTTACAAGTTTAACAGCAACTGGAAAGGAAAAGGTTTTAGATTAAGGGTAAATATTAAACACTGAAATGTGGTTGATTGAGTTACCTGAAAGATATTGATACAAAAATTTTCCATCTCTAGCTTTAATAATAAACTTTTCACTCCTTCCAGGAGGTAATTATTTAATAAGGATAGAAAAAGAGAAAGCCAGGGCCAGGTTCCTGAAAGGTCGATTAGCGTTAATCCAGGATTAAAATTGTGTTCCGTTTTTGTACTTTACATTCCTATGCATGATTTGCTTATGGTAACATTTTCTGTTATCATTACTGTATCTCGTAGTAACAGTATTTTGTAACCTCGAGTTGCATGTTCTTAGAGTAGAAAACCGTTTTTGAAATTTAGCTTAATCCTGGGTTAAACTTAACCATCTTTCGAGGAACCGGGCCCAGAAAGATATTTTCCCCACTGGTATTTGTTGTTTACAGGATGACTACATAATACAGTCAATTCTTAATCAATTCAAACAGACGTTTTTCCCAAGTAGGTACTCCCAGAAAAGGACACTTGACTGAAAATTAATGCTCCAACATTCTTTAGACATAGTGAAATCTTTTCTTTATTGATTTTGACAGTTTTGATACAATAACAGGTATCTGTCTGAGCCATCTTTCTCAAAACTAGTGATGTCATCATAAGATGATGTCAACAGCTGTCAAGAAAAATAATGACCATTATCTTATTTATAAAGAATTTAATTGTCTTAAGTTTTTACCATTGCAAGCCAGAGGAGTTTTTGGTTCCAACAACATACCAGGGCTGTCAGTCAGGGCAGGGGACTGGGGCTGGTGATTTCCCTTGGCTACTATGAACATGAACCGTTCTTAACTTTCGCTGAAAAAAAAAAAAAGGAAGGTGGAACCAAAAAGAACTAAATTGCTCCAAGAAGCTGTTCAATTCTCCTCCTTAACTAATTGCATATACCTGCCAACTTGAACACTTGGGACACTTTTCATTTGTCAGAACTGACTGGCCAGGCTATTCTAATCACAATGAAAGTCTCACTTTTAATCAAAACTACCCAACCAGATCAATCAAATCCTACATACAATTAGTAGTATGCAAAGGAGATGGGTTTTCATAAAAAAACTCTCGGAAAAAGCCTATTTCATTGTCACAATGACTGGTCTGGCCTTAATTTGCCAAGCCAGTTCTGACTTTGGAAAGCACCCTTTTTTTAATACAGCCCACTGACATCACCTCTCCTGAGCTGAGACTCTTTTTAAAGCCAAGGGTGCAGTTCACTAATATACAGAACCTTTACTGTAGTATAATTATGTTTCTATAACAAATATACCATATCTTTTTTTTCTTTAATTTCAATTTTAAAAGCTATAGTGACGAGACCTTAGGTTATTTTCCAAAAGTGTCTTTTTTTTTTTAAGGATGATGGCCAGGCTGAAGGTGAAGATGACTTTTTTTCTCAAGAGTTTTTGGATGATGAAAATGATAGTTCAGAGGAAGGAAGTGATGCAGTAAACACCAGTGAAACTACGCAAGACAATGTATCCACCTGGAAATCCAAACAAGAGTTTTTACGACAAAGGAAACAAACTTATCAGGTTAAAGATAGTGTTCTTTTTATCCTATCCACTATAAAAAATTCCAGTTTAGTCACAGTGTTGATTGTTTATGATGGTGAATAAGTTCTTTAAAATTGTTTGTAAATCTTGTTAAAAGTGACTTTTCTTTTATACGACTTCAGAAGAGAACTGAAAAAAAAATAGTGGAGTTTAAAGTGGCTTTCGAAAAATAAAACAGATTGAAATTAAAAGTCAAGTTTGCAATACTTTTTCTGGTCCAAAATTTCAATACTTTACCATCAGGGAAGCAAGGTTAGTGTAAAGCTTCAAATAAGGTTTTTGTAGTTTTGCTTCATTTTGTTTGATGGTAATCTACTTGTCTGTTTGTTTGTTTTTTCTATTTCATCCATGTACTTTTAAGAAGCTTCCTGACGAACCAGATCTGCAGGAGAAAGGGGTATGTTTTTTTAAAAAATTATCTTTCATTTCTTTTTAAAACAACTAATGCTATAATATCGGTTGTTATAAACCCATTTAAGGGGGGATTCATAAATCTGCAATATACATTTAGTGTCCCTCCACATTGAATTTGTTAGTCATGGTGCCACCTTTTTTCTCTCAGTTTAAATACTTCAATGCCCTTTCGACTTCTATATCCTGTACCAGGTCCGATGTCAAATGCAGATTAGCCATATTGTAAATATAACAAGTTCGGATCAGCAACATCCTGGCTGACATGTGCAATTTGTTTTTGCCACCATTTATACAAGAAGTAAATGTGATCTTGAAACTGAAAAGATAACAGCTTAATTGATTTGCTCTCTGAAAGAGAATTCCTACCATGTGTAAGGATGGAATAACTTCAGGCTTTCTTCTGCAGTAATTCCACTGCTGACTCTTGTGGGATATAAAAGACCCCATGCTGCTGTTTGAAAAGAATAGGGAGGGAGAAGACCTCGATGGGTGTGGTTGACCAGGTTGAACGGGTGTACCAAAAAAAATCTCATTTTTAATAGCGAAACTTTTCTTTGCGCTCCTTAAGCGTGGTTGGGGTCAGTTAGGACGTAGGTTTGTTTAGTGAAGGAATGAATTTATTTATTGAGTAAATAAAATTGTCTTTGAATCATAAGGTGATAACTGTTGCCCTTCGATGCCCTGATGGAGCAGTTAAGAGACGGAGATTTACAGTGGAGTCGCAAATCAAGGTGATGCTTACTATACACTGCACAATACACAAGCACATAGATGTTTTGGCTTCTTTGAAGGAATTTAATTAATCAGCTGTTACACTTGCGCTTCTTGTCGTTCATTACATTGCGTTATCCATTTTTTCTTAACCATTCATTTGTTTTACCGGCGGCCCAGAATGTGGGAGTTCGTTAGACTTTGAATTTATAAGAGTGGTATAAAAATATACAAATTACGTCCTAAATTCCATTTTTTTGACAATAAATAGATAAGAATGACTCACTTTGTGTTTTTGTTTTTATTCTTTGAAAAAAAAAAAAAAAAAACAAAACAAATACACTGGAAATGGAAAAGAAGCTGTGACCGGGAAAACTGTGAAAGGCCTGTGACCTACGATAAAGGTTTTGATCACTGACTAGAATCCTCCTCTTTGATAAGATTACGATTCAGTTTCTTCATCAGCTTCGTTCTCAAAAAACCACAAGTTAAAATTTGGAAGGTGGAAAATTAAAGTCCAAGTCATCTTTGTTTACAGACATATGATAACTTTCTTTACCATTTTTATTTTCGAGATAGAAAGATATCAGCGTGGCTTTGAAATCTTGCTGTACAGTAAGTTATGGACCGCAAATTGACCAATCAAAGGGCGGAAACAGACTTACAATACGTACAATAAAAGTAAAATAGCGCGTGCGATCGAATTGTTGCGCACGAGCTGTTCTATGCATGACGTAACAAACCGAGCAAAAAACCATCATGAACGATTTGCCAAAGAAAAGACAGACCTCTCAGATGGTATGATATGTCTGGCGTCAAAGATGGAAATACAAAGATTCGCCTTTAGTAGCATATTCACAGTGACAGTTATCGCCATGTTGTTTCTTTCTGTTGCTCGAAATATGGTAAGAATACTAAAAAAAATGGCAAGAAAAATTTGTTTCAACGTTCGTTTCGCGAGTTTCATGAAGGAGTTGAAAGAAAGATATCTTTCACGAACAACAGCATCAAGAAGGAGGAAAAAGTAGGACGGTACGGTAAGATGGAAGGCTATTTTAAAATATGGCTATGAGCTACGGAGGGATCTAGGGTAATAATAGGAACGTTCTAAAAGGCGGCGTTATTATCGCTTGCCTGGAGATTAGATAAGAAATGAGTAGGCGATTAATTCTACACGAAAGAGGAGTTACTCGCTAAAGGTTTTGCACTTCCTGTTACACGTGTAGCACGCACATTTATTTATTAATTATTTATCATTTTACCTAGTAAAATTAGTATTTGGTTCCTGTGTACCACGTAGCCAGCTACGTAGTTCAGCCGTTTTCTGAAAGGAGACGACTTTATTGTGTGCCTCCGGAGCAAGAAGAAAAATAAGGCCGCTTCACGGCCAAAAAAGGCTCGCTCCGCTCGCTAAGAGGTCGACTTGTAGCAAGTCTAGTGAAGGCCTAGAAAGACAATTACTGATTTTAGAAGCCTTGTTTGCTAAGAAGCGTCCTCCAAAAAAACAGTTTGCTCGGAATTCTGATGCCTAGTCTACTTATTCCAATACAAGAAGTGAACAAGAAAGTCAGGACAAGTTCCAGCTTGATTCTGGAGAGAGAATTCCGTCGGCAAGCAAGTAAAGGCTCCGCTGTGATGGACCAAGAGAAATCCCGAGCGGTAAACGGAAAGAAAGTTTGCTGCAAAGCCACGCTTACAAAAATTACCCTATTTGGCGAAATTATGGCTGCCAAGGCTAGAGTAAACAAGAGGAAGAGAGCTTAAGGGTTTTAAAGCTCTGCTTCTAGAGTTAAGAAAGCAAGTAAATAAATCATCTTATTCATCAAAATGATTTTTTTTACTTGCTTTCTTAACACTAGTGTCGATCCTTCTTCCAGGAGAAAAAATACTGTACTTGTGATTCCAACTGTTAAGAAACAACGGTTTGCTAAAAAAAGGGTGCAGAGCACGAACAGACTAGGTTGTCAGGGGCATACCTGACTGTAAGCCAGTAAAGCATGGGTTAAAACATATTGGGGTGATTTTTTTTCGAATTGCCAAATTGAAAAAGAGTCACAATCTTTTTTTTGTGTTTCCATTTTCCAAGTGCTTGCCAAATGTATCACTGATGGCATGCAGCTGCTCAAGACAGAGCACTGCTGCGCTCCTTCACTCTAGTTTTACATTTAAAGTATAGACACATGTCACAAGACTGTGCACGGGCAGACAGGCGACGCCGAGTCTCGCCCCGTCTTGGCTGTAGTAACTGTCTTTGTCTCAAGGTCTACTATGCGAGTACGCTCTACAGGTGCTCGCGCTTCTACATGCGTACAGTTACATGACCATCGATACAGACAAGGTGGTCCAGGAGTTTTGCACTAGGAAACCACGCAGTTTGGCACGTGAATTCTGAACACATGTACGCAAACCTTCCTTGACCCCAGCGCTTACCCTTCTGACTCCGCGCGTAAGCTCTTCCTTCCTCCCTGGCCTTCATGTGCAGAAGAGCTATGGGGTCGAGATTGCTCCTTGTTCATTTGAGCTTACATTTTATAATGCCACTCTGAAACAGCTTACGTAAAATGATTGTAACTTATCTTAAGTTACTTTACGGCCTGTCAAACCCCGGGTCTGACGCCAGTCAAATGACTGTCAGTATCGCTTGTCCAGAACTTGGTTCCAGTCTCCCAAACAAGAAGATATAGAATAAAAATCTTTTTAGCCTCGTTTTGTTGTTACGTACTGTCAATAGCCCAGTTTCGAATTAAAAATTACCGCTGAATACAAACATCAACGACACATTCATACAGGGTTAGCATCGATATAAAGTAAAATATTCACAAATTCCGGCAAGTAAGTGTTTTCAATTTGAATATACACAATAGACACAATAATAAACAGGTCTTATTTTCGGTAGAATTTGTGAATATATTTACTTCCGATGGAGGCTAAGCCTGTAAAAATGCGTCTTCACTTCTTTAATTCAGCGGTAATAGCGAACTCGAAACTGGATCCTATTTTTCTCCCATCGATTTATTGCCGCGTGCTTCAGACCTTATGGAGCTCCCAAGAGCGTCTCAAAGTTCCTATTTTTGACGTCCGAGTCTTCTTCATTCAAAAGACGTGGGTTATTTTAGACAGAAGATAAGAAATAAGACTGAAAAGTGGAGAGCCAATCTTTAAAACATGCTTTATCGAAAAGCGCAATGCATTTCGGTTTAAACTTTATTCCAATGCTGACTTTGGCAAACATTTGTACGGACTCGTATAAACAGTGCTGTAACAGAATTTGCGTGGAAACAGGTTGTACAGGTAAAAATTCGTTTCAAGCCATTTAATTGTTCTCATTAAAATTTGAACTAGGAAATAACTATCCTGTTTTTGGCATACTTATGCTTGCTCTTGCCTACAGTGGAACACCTCCTCACGACCACCTGGGTAATATGGTCACCTTGTTATTACGGCTACGTTCTTTTGGCTGCCCGGCTAAACGAACATACATTTTATTGTGAAAAACCCCCCGTTAATACGGTCACCCGTTAATACGGCCAAATTTGTGTATTTCTATCTTTTGACCTTTGGTCAATTTTCGTTTGACGAGTTCGGTTTGCATTAGCCAACCTCAACATACTGCTGTTTTGCGGTTTAATTTTGGATTACGTTAAACTGTTTTAATTCTCTCTCTTTTATCCTTAGATGTTATATGTCTTCGCGGAATGGCTTGGTTACTCGTCATCTCGTTATGTTATCTCAACGACGTTTCCGAGAAAACAACTCTCTGAAGTCACACAGACGTTTTTGGAGGCTGGACTGACTGGGGATACAGCTTTAGTATTGGAAGAAATATAGAATTAGAATATTTTATAGAAATAAGTAAACAAGTCGTAGTAATAATAAAACTATTATTAAAGGAGGAGACCAGTGAGGTTGGTTATTGCAGTGGATTTTCTGCATTTAAAAGGTTATTTGCACGATGACGTCTTTTTGCTAGTAAGACCAAAATTCATTTGATTTTTCTTGCATAATTAAATTTTGTAATCCCAATGAGGGTTAAATAAATAACTCAATTTGCACAGGAAAGCAAAACCCTGAAGGATTCGGGAAGTGGTTGTAGTAAACAGTAGCAGTGGCAGTGGCAGTAGAAGTGGTAGTAGCAGTAGTAGTGGCAGTGGCAGTGGCAGTGGTAGTGGTAGTGGTAGTGGCAGTGGCAGTGGCAGTGGCAGTGGCAGTGGCAGTGGCAGTGGCAGTGGCAGTGGCAGTGGTAGTGGTAGTGGTAGTGGTAGTGGCAGTGGTTGTGGCAGTGACAGTGACAGTGGTAGTGGTAGTGGTAGTGGTAGTGGTAGCCGCTCTATCGGATCCGATCTTGTTTCTTCCCGAGAAGTGGAAGCGGGAGGAGGGGCGGAGGGCTCATTTCCCCAGAAGTGGCTGGCAACCCAGCCTAGCTCCATATTTATGTCATTGCGAACAAGCCACCTGGTAGACATTTCTGTCCTATAGCAGTATGCAGCTGTAGTAACCAGAGTTATAACCTCGACGCCTGTTGGAAGAGCTTGGATATGTTATCGGGGTCACCGGTTGAAAAAGCTGCAGTATTACTACAGTTTAGGTATGTCTAATAAACTTCACTCGTCTTTTGTGATGAGTTTCTTGTCTTTACTTCTCTCATATTTCATCTCTGCTTTCTGAAGCTCTTGCTAAAATCAAGATCTTCGAACTTTAAGAAACAATAACGTGACAATCTTGTTCCGACTGTCCTTCATATCGTAGAAATAATGCCACGGCAGTGAATATTGACGTTACTTACCAAGTGTTTTTGTCGTATCGTTCGAGGTGAAAATCCTTCTCATATTAAAGGAGCTGTATCGCGCTTGTCTAGTTTATTGGTTTGATATTATCTATGACGCTACATAAACTTGACGTTAGTAATGATTTTCCTTGAAAAGACCAATTAACAGCTTCACATCAAACAAATATCTCACCCAAAGCATTGTATCAAACGTTACAAACAACAAAAACGAACTTTGAAAAACTGTTAAGTTCACACTCGTCTTCAAAACAGCAATTGCAATCCGTTTTTATCTTCTTCACATTTATCCATCAGTTCCTCCTTTTGTATATGTTGTTTTTTCATATCAATCTTAATGTTTTGAGGCTTTAATTCGATTTTTTACTTATTTGGTGAGTAGTGTGTAAGAGCTGCTCGTAAGGTCTCCTCTATTCGGTCGCAGGAAATTATGACGTCATTCTTTCAATTTTTTTAATTGTGAAAATAAAATAATCAGCATGTCACGAACGTGGGACAAAGAAAAAGTCTGAATCCCCGACAGGATTCGAACCTATGACCTCCCAAACACCGGGTGGGCGTTCTATCCACTTGAGCTACGGAGAACCCATGGAGAGCAAGGCCATATACTAGGTACATATTTGGCACGCATTAACATTATAATTATTAGTATTGTTTGGGGTCAGATTTAGGCACCATTGGTGACTTCTCTTCCGTGCAGCTGCTACATGATCCAATATTGGTGGCGGTTTTCTCAGTTTGAATGATGTTAAATTTCGTGCCACGGTTCCGGATACTATAAGCCAGTGTTCAACCTAGTTTTCAGGGTAAATACCCTGGCAAAAAGTTAACCCTAATGAAACTTCAAAGGGGGCTTTTTCTTCCCTCATTTCCCTCGCACACTGTTTAGGTAAGTAATCACCTTACTTTAACATCGTTGCAGATAAATTTCTATCACGCGTACGTAGAGCCATTCTTTCGGGATACGCGCATCAAGTGTGGCATTTCCACGCGTAGATAACCCAGCTTAGCCTGAGAAAACAACCGACATTTCGCGACGCCAACACCGGTTTCCCCGTGAAATGGCGTCTGAGAAACGAGTGCAGAAACTCCATACTGATGAAACGTCACTTCCCTGATCTGGGTAGTACTTCTGACTGTTTGAAAATTTGCTTCAACCAATGAGAAGTACTACCCAGATCTGGATGGCGACGAAAATAAAATCCATCCCCTGTGGCAGCTGAAGTGCCTCTCACTACGGGGGTGTGAACGCTCATAGAGTCAAATACCTTGTACAAAACTGGTGTTTGTGTAAAGTACTAACGGTAGTTGATAAAAGATCAGCTCTGGATTTTAGGAAGTAAAGCAGGGATGGTGGAAAGGGCTAAAAAGAATTGTGAACAGGCTTGTTCCCATTGGTTCCTAGGAGAACTTTGATGAGAACGCAGGCGTCTAGATATCAAGAACCACGCTTATGGATAACGTAGTTTTCTCTATATTTGTCATCAAGTCTTTATCTTTACTACGCAAAACAAAACAAAACAAAAGACATTCATGCCATGTTTAACCGTAAGGATAATTTTTCGTAGTTTTTATCTGTCGATTTCCCTAATTTGAGTAATTGTAATGCTTGAACCTGGCGTTTCGACTTTGTTGTAAACGTAATTCTTCGATTCCGAATCGACCGGAGTAAACGTGGCACTAACTTTTATAAGACCAAATATATGGATTGTGGTTGTCGTTGCAAAGAAAATAGATTTAGAGTCGCGTTTAAGGCAAACGGCAAACATTAGACCCCGAGGGATTGGGAAGAGCATGATGGCCGACAGTCGCAAAAAAATCTCTCTCTGATTCCTTCATTCGGAAAGGGACAGACGCCGCTATATAAACACCCTCTGATCATATAATCATCTTTAAAACAATGTCTAAACGGAATCAACGTGAAACACGTTCTTCGAGTTCATCTTCTTCACAATATCAACCATCGCCGAAACGCTTACTCCGCGATGGGACGCCAGGTAAGGACGACCATCACGCCTCACTCGGCAACATTATGGATAAGTTGTGTCACTTGGAATCTCGAAAGGAAGACCTCCTCGGCAGTCTAAAATCCGAGTTATCATGTCTTAGACATGAACTCAACGAAGAAATTGAGAAAGTAAAATCGACAGTAAATGATGTGAAAACATCATTGAACGCGGCGTGGGACACAGTCAAAGATCTCCAAGATGAACTAAAAATACACGCAGATTTCCGAAAGAAACATAAAGAAAAACACCTCGAGGACAATGGTGTTTCACAAAGCGCTAAAGCAAAAATTGCTCTGCAGGAGAGTCAAATCAACCTTTTAAATACGAAGCTATCCGAGGAACAGGAAAAAATCATCGCACTGGAAAACTACTCTCGCCGAGAGAATCTCCGATTTATGAATATAACGGAGCAAGAACACGAGAACTGCACTGACACCGTTTATGATATCGTCGAGAACGGGTTGAACATAAACACACAGAATATATACTTTCATGCTGTCCACAGAGTCGGTAAGCCACGTTCGCCTGAGGACTCCCATCACCATCCCCGACCCATCATTGCGCGTTTTCTCTGCCGGGAAGATAGGGACCGTGTTTTTAAAGCGAAAGGAAGATTGAGACACTCGACGGATTATCCAGACGCGTATATAACTAAAGACTATGCAAAGGCGATACAGCTTGAAAGAAAGGAACTAATTAAAGCGATGTTCATAGCGCGGAAGAAAGGCATGAGCGCGAAAGTAGTGGACAGAAATCTAGTAATAAATGACAACGTTTATCATGTTGGTAACATACCCGACGAACTTAAACCTGCAGCTGAATCTACACGCTCGTAGAAGTTTTCTTTACTCAGGTCAGTGTAATTCGATTTTTCTCAGTTGCCTTTTGCATTAATTGCTATTGCAACCTTTAAGACCGAGACTAGTACTCCACGTTTGCTTCGCCGTTTGCACACAATGGATTCTTTCCTTTTTGTATATTGTTCTAAAGTTAAACTATTTGGCGTTCCGTCCTTTCCGGATTCGTCGATCTTTCTGTTTGAAGGTATGTTCTCCCTAAGCCGCTTAAATTTTACCTTTTTTTTGTTTTTGTTTATAGTTTTATGTTTCCAGTGTAGCCGTTGTTTTGGTTTTTCGGTCAGTAGCAAATATTTTTCAGTCCTACGAAGTGTTAACTATCGTAATTTGCATTTTGTTTCTGCATTCCAGTTCACTACTTTTAATCATCAACAAGTTCCCAATTGACGAATTGATAATCTGTTCTCTTAATGTGAGGGGCGTATCCAACAACCTTAAGAGGCGAAAAACCTTTCGTTGGCTTAGAATAAAAAAAATGGGAATATTCTTTCTTCAAGAAGTCCACTGCACCAAAGAAAAAGAACGACTGTGGTCATCAGAATGGGGCTTCTCAGCTATTTTTAGTAGTGTTTCTAGCTCAAGTGCAGGGGTATGCATCCTGTTTAACAACAATTTTCAATTCGAAATCAAGAAAAATTCTCTGATCCAGATGGAAGATTTATTTTAGTAGATTTGAAGCTTGAAAATAAGACTATAACCTTGGGAAACATTTATGCGCCAAACGATGACAATCCGAATTTTTTTAAAAACGTTCTCAGCCACCTCCTCTCTTTCGAGTGCGAGGACATTAACCTGGGTGGAGATTTTAATCTAGTATTGGACGTCCAAAATGATAAGAAGGGAGGAAGACTGACCACTCACAAAAATTCTTTGAAGGAAGTTCAGAACATAATAAATTCGCTAGACCTTATCGACATTTGGCGGGTCTCCAATCTGGATATCAGAAGATTCACTTGGAGAAGAAGCAAGCCCGAAATTCATTGTCGCTTAGACTTTTTCTTGACGAGTAATAGTCTAAGTTCGGCAATTACAAAAGCTGATATTTTACCAGGGTACAAAACAGACCATTCTTTGATAACGCTCCACCTTGCAAACAATACCAATCCCAGGGGCCCGGGCTTCTGGAAGTTAAATACGTCTTTTCTATCAGACAGTGAATATATTAATTTGATAAAAACAACAATCACTGAAGTTGCAAATGAATACCAAAATAACACTGAGGTTGATGCCGTGCTCCTCTGGGATACAATGAAGATGCAAATTCGTTCAAAGTCGATACAATACGCAAAACATAAGAGAGGCAAAATGAAGTTAGGGAGCATTCATTTTTTAGAAGCGGGGGTGGGCCGGAGGAATTCAGGGGAGGGTCATTAACTTTTTGCCTGCCCAAAAAGAGAGGGTCAGCATAAATTTGACACAACAAAGAGGGGGGGTCACTTAATTTTTTTTAATATTATACAAGTTTATACAAACTTACTGATCTTTGAATCCTTAGCGTTACAAAGCTAATTTGAGACTCAAATGAACTTTGTGCCACTGAAATGTATAAAAGCCCCAGTAGCACCAACTGAATTGATTATTAGTCGATGGAGGAAGCCTAAAATGGGAGTACTATGAACAATGCCATGGCCTTGAGGAAGAAGATTTAAAGAGAATGTCAGCAAAAGAGCTAGAAGATTTAGAGAATGACCGAATGCAGAAAAATGCATGGATGGATAGATGGTGAGCCTGCACCAAACGGTTTTCTTGGTGCAATTGTTTCAGAAAAGCCTGGTGAAGAATTTTTTTACAGTAAGGAATATCTATCTAAGTATAACAACACTTCAAAGTCAAAGCGACATGTAATACCTGGACATGCCTATTTTAATAGAGTTGAATCCTTCTTTGAGTCACATTACGAAAGGGGAGAGCTCTATTTTGAATTTCTAAAAGGAGATTGTTCAAGAAAGGGAGAACTGTGTGAGACATGTAAGGAAAATGGGTGGATAGGTCCCGACTCACTGAAGCGCACACCACGTCCTTACCCAGATGTCACACAACTCCCTTCCCATCACTACCTCTCAATAGGTAATATCCCTGTTCATAACAGAGCACCAGATGATTTCCAACCCCGTGCGCAGTTACGCAAGCTTTTCGTCGAAGGGAACATTAAATGTGGCGATAATGACAAAATTGAAGCATTTTCTAAAAAATAAAATTGTCAGCCCTGATCTGGTGAAAGAATATCTTGAGCACCTTACAAATATTGAAGTGAGAAAAAATATGCGCCAAGACGAAAAGCGTCAGGCAAAGAAAGATGAAGAAACAAAAGGTTACGGTGACTATAACTGGGAGAAACTCTACAAATCGGGAAACCTAAAAAAGCTGAAGGTTGCTGAGCTCGATAAATATATTTTTCGCCACAACTTATCAAGGAGAAAAATGTCCAAATCAGAAAAACTTAACCTTCTGTCAGCTCACATCAGCAAAGGTTTATGTGAAAGGATCTTGACATTGAGTGCTGCTGAAACTGCACTAGCAACGGAAGACTTGGACACCCAGCGCAATAGCGCAAACCTCTATATGAATATATTCGGTTGCGCTTTACAATATTGTTATATTAAATTTATGTTAAAGGTGACTAAAGCATGAGCAACTATTAAAAACTACAATAAAAAGTATTAAAAACTATAAATAAAAATAAATAAATAAATAATGATAATAATTAAAAAAAAAAAAAAAAAACTATTATAAAAGCCAACAATTAAATCTATTTAAAAGCTAAATTGAAAAAATGAGTTTTAACAGCAGTCTTAAAAGTGTCCAATGTCTTCATGTTGCGAATTTCCGAAGGTAATGCATTCCAGAGATAAGGTGCAGCTGACTGGAATGCACGATCAGAAGATTGGATGGGTCTTAATGCATGGTAACTCGAGGAATATAGACTCATTTGACCTTAGAGAACTTGGATTGCTTTTTGGTAGTAATGAAATCAATTAGATAATTAGGAGCTTGACCATATAAGCACTTAAATGTCAAAAGTAGAATCTTAAACTTTATACGGTAACTCATTGGAAGCCAATGAAGGTCGAAAAGCAATGGTGTAACATGGCAGAATCTAGGTGTTCCGGTGACCAACCGAGCCGCGGAGTTTCATGATATGTGAAATTCGGGAGGCCATATAGTAGACTGTTACAATAATCTATTCTACTGGTGATAAAAGCATGAACTAATGATTCGGTGACTGAACGACTTAAATATTTCCTAATTCTACGCATGTTATAAAGATAATTGAAAGCGGATGAGCAAGTTTTGTTGATATGACTTAGCATACTCATTTTAGAATCAAACCAAGCTCCTAGGTTTCGAACTTCAGAAGATGGAGCAATTTGGGAGTCCCCAACCGATAAGGATGCAAGCAACTCAGACGAAAATGATTCAAAGGACAGCGAAAGTGAGGAGGAAGATGAGTTGCCTGAAGGGGCCAGGGTAAACCGTTATGGCAGAAAAGTAGGCAATTGGCGGTTGCGTTATTCTAGCTAACAGGTGCGTCTGTGTGAAGGACCACGGGATCGTTGCACAATCCAGCCACAAACCATGATTGTCAGGAGGAAGGGGTGGGTCACTATAAATTTTACTGCTTCCCGGGGAGGGTCACATTTTTTAACAAAAAATATAAAGGGAGGGTTGGGAGATTTTTCATTCATGCTCATAGGGATTCCTCCGGCCCCCCCCCTTCTAAAAATGAATGCTCCCTTAACAGCAACAAATCTGGAGTCTGTCATAACGTCCCGGCTACAGAGGAAACTGGAAGAAAATGACTTATCTGAAACCAACAAGACCACTATATATAATGAATTAGAAGTTAAAAAATTACAGTTAGAAAACGTTGTCCAGCGTCAAACTCAAGGAGCCATGATAAGATCCAAAACCCGCTGGCATAACGAAGGAGAAAAAAGCACGAAATACTTCTTAAACTTGGAAAAAGGCATTTTAATACCAAAACCATAAGGCAACCTCAGCTTGAGAATAGTAGCGTCATCAAAACAGATGAGGAAATCTTAACAGAAGCAAAATCTTTCTATCAAAACTTATATGCATCACGCGCGCCTGATATCTCTGCTCATGACGCTTTTTTCTTGTTCGAAGAATCTACTGTAAAACTCGACCAACACGCGCAGGAAGAATGCGAAGGGCCCTTAACAAAAGAGGAATGCCTAAATAGTCTAAAAACTATGGCATCGGACAAAACTCCTGGGACTGATGGCCTTCCAGCCGAATTTTATAAGGTTTTCTGGGAAGACATTGAAGGCTACTTACTTAATGCACTAAATGGTGCATATGAAAAACGATGTTTATCAATTTCTCAAAGAAGAGGTCTAATTACTCTCTTACCAAAAAAGAACAAACCGGCTAACCTTTTAAAGAACTGGAGACCTATAACTCTTCTCAATTGCGACTACAAGAGTGCAGCTAAATCCATAGCAAACCGCATGAAGAAATTTTTGCCGAACATAATAAATAATGATCAAACCGGTTTTTTGAAAAACAGATTCATAGGCTAAAATATCAGACTTATTGAGAACATTATTAACCACACAAATATGGAACAAATCCCGGGCCTGTTGTTATTTGTAGATTTTGAAAAAGCCTTCGATAGTATAGAGTGGTCTTTTATAGAGAAAACACTAAGACACTTTAACTTTGGAACATCCTTGGTAAACTGGGTTAAACTTTTTTATACGAACATAAGTAGCTGTGTCCTTAACAATGGATGGGCATCCGACTTCTTTTCTTTACATCGTGGAGTAAGACAGGGGTGCCCACTGTCGCCCTATTTATTTATCTTAGGTGCTGAAATCTTGGGTAACGCAGTGAGAAGGGATACAGAAATTCGCGGTATCAAATTGGGTAACTCAGATTGTAAACTGCATGTCCCAATATGCAGATGACACAACAATGATCTTAGATGGCTCAGAACGCTCTTTTTCGAGAACATTATACGTACTAGACATATTTGCAAATGTATCAGGTTTGAAAGCAAACTATGAGAAAACTGAAGCCCTCTGGATAGGTTCACACAAGAATACTAATGCTGTTATTCCTTCGAGTAAACCTATCTTTTGGGCAGAGGGAAAGGTCTACGCCTTGGGAGTTTGGTTCTCGACATGACAATAATTTCACTGAGAAAATCGAAAAGATTAAAAAAATCCTCGGGAGCTGGTCGGCCAGAAGACTCACACTTATGGGTAAAATTGCCATTCTAAAAGCTCTAGCAGTATCTCAGATTGTTTACGTTTTATCCTCCCTTCCGACACCGAAAGGGGTAATAAAGGAAATTAACGCTCTGTTATACGATTTTCTTTGGGACAATAAAGGGGACAAAATAAAAAGGACAGAAATGATCAACGATTAGGGTAAGGGGGGGCTAAAGAT